CCACCCCAGTATTTAATTTTGAAATTTGCCATTGGAGTAAAACAAGGGAGACTTTAAATTTACCAGAATGATATTGGGGGCAGCAAGCAAAACAAGAATTGTCTGAACCTGTTTGCATGGGATATACAACAGTGTTTAGTACATGACTTAATGGTCTTTCAATCTCAAATAAGGTGCATCTACAGTACTTTTTAGAGTAGTGGTTCAATCTTATTTATGCTATCTAAGCACGGGGATGGAATCAGTGGAAATGCACAATATTATTTTTTTTTCCCAAAGCTCCAAATAGCCTATATTACCTCTCGTCTCTTTCTACCCTGCATCAGTTCTCCGGACCTTAGCAGTCTAAAGGTCTTGGAAACTGAATCCAAAGAGATGAAAGACTTTTATTAAAGGTAGATTGAAAGTAAAACTCGAGTCTCCATGTCCTCTCCTGAAATCACCAGCTGACAAACGCTGATGGCCATAAGTCAATTACCTTTTTACTTATGTTAGGACATAATCTATCAATAGTCCCCTTGGCTTCTCCATTAAGATCAATTGAAATAACCAACTTTTGAGATTTAAATTAAAAACGTGGAATCAAGAGGAAAAAGCATTTCTTGAACTGGTTTCCATCTCTGCACCTTCTAGGTTTACAGAGGAGGCCAAGAAGGAACGACATCCTTTTGCATACCTGCCATTTGGGGCAGGACCCCGTGGCTGCATTGGCATGAAAATGGGTTTGTTGGAGACAAAAATGACTCTGCTGAGGATTTTGCAGAAGTTTCAATTCAAGGCCTGCCCAGAGACTGAGGTTTGTACATTCAGAGGCATAAAGATCACACTTGTTAACTTGAGGGAGTTGAGTGTGTGTCTTGGGCAGGACAACTGATTTGCCTTTGTGACTTCTCTTCCTTTTAGTAAACTGCTAGAGACACTTCCATAGTAAGGAGAGATGAGGCATGCACTGCATGTTTTAAGCAAAATGTGATTTCAGATACGTAATTTTTCCAACAAAAGAAATACACAGGGTTACACAGCCCTGCCTTAGTGGAGAGCAGTATGGCAAGACCAGAGGCAAAATGTCATAATTCATAGAGGGTGAGAACATGTGTACATATTTCACAGGATCTCAGCACTTCAGTATATGCCTATTGCTATGGACATTGCACCCAGCTCTAGAGCTTACAGAGTTAATTTCTTTCTGTTCAGATCTACAGCATTCCTGGGTAACCACTGCCTCAGCCTCTGGCTGTAAATTCTATTTAATATTATACCACCACAGCTGACTGTAAAACAAATACTTTACAGCTTCCACAGTAATCCTGGTATGAACTGGTCCTCCAGCAAAAATGTCTGTTTGTATGTGGGGGTGTCATACACACGAAAACAAACACGTACAACTGCACATAAGGTGCTCTTTTCTCTTTCAGATTCCTTTGCAGCTCAAATCAAAAGCCACACTTGGACCAAAAAATGGAGTCTACATTATGCTGGAATCTCGCTAAAAGCAAATACACATCCTGAAGCTTTCTGGAATGAAACCCTTTGTTAGTAACTCACTGGGTATGAATACTTTTCAAAACTTCAAGGACAGGTAGGAGCCTAAATCCCACTGATGGTCAGTAGGTGCTTCCTCACTGCCCTCCTGTGGGACAGCCTCCACTCACTTATTAAAATAGGCTCCACAGTCTTTTTTGGAGATGACACATCCTTCTCATGCACTTGCGAGTCCCTAGAGAAAGTCCCTAAGGCACCACAGTTACAGCAGAAGACTTGGGATGCAGTGCATTGGATTTTTTCATGGACTCCATTAGCAATCAAAGCTGAGGCTCCTGTACAATGTTTAATTTCTACCTGCATCTGTAAAGCCAGAAAAGTTGCACCTCTTTCATGCTTTGAAGTGATTTTGAATACATTTAGATTAACAATTTGCACTTGGCACATTCCATCAACATGACAGAAGAAGAATGAAGAGTTCCCTGACTTACCAGTAAAGTTCCATCAGCAAAGACCAAAGAAATGAGGTGACAGCCATTTTTCTGGCTGCTGAACTGCTGTAGGAAAGGTGGAGACAAAGATATGAATTAAAAGCAAGCAGGAGGACTGGAGGAAATCTAGAAATAATCAGAAGGTGTTGGTACCACATCTGCTTCATGGTGAGGCCTTTCCTTTCCAAGCACTGCAGTTGGCATCATCTCTGTCTAGCTCCTTCAGTCAAGGAAATTAAGAGGATGCATGTGCTAGAGCTAGTGGCAAAGGAGTGGAATCCAGGATCATCAGACCCAGCAGCCCTCTTGACTCCTGTAACACTGGAGAAAGTCATGTCCCAAGTGCCTCACCCCCTCAGGAAGGAACTTGTCTGACTGCCATCTGCAGCAGCCCCATGGATCCATTCAGGCTGTGTGACTGTGCACGGGCATCTTCCCAGCCAAAACAGCCATAGCTTCCACTCCTCACTTTCCCTGTCCTACTCCTCTGCAAAGCCATCACCTGCCATGCAGCTAGTGTTGCACAAGGAGCTGGGAGGGGACACTGCTGGACTAGCTGACCCTCACTGAACACAGGGACATTCCATACCCTACAGCACTATGCTCAGCACATAAAACTAGGGGAAGAGGAAGGAAATGGGACAGCATTCAAAGTGATGGCATTTGCCTTCCCAAGTCACGGTTATGCCTGCTGGAGCTCTGCTTCCTGGGGTGGTGGAACACCTGCCTCCACATGGGAGATGGGAGATGGTGAATTAATTCCTTGTTTCGTGTGTGGCTTTTGCTTTACCTATTAAATTGTCTTTGTCTCAATCCATGAGTTTTCTCATTTTTACAATTCTCTCCCTCATCCCTTTATGGGGGTGAGAATGAGCAGCTCTGAGGGGCTGAGCTGCTGGCTGGGGTTAAATTACAACAGAACTGTGAGAGGAGACTGGTGCAGTCCCAAGACCCTTTTTTAAAATCCATTTATTCTCACATTTTTTCTCTAAAATTTTTGTATATAACAAAATTCTTGCGGCACTATAAAAATAAGGATGCATCTTTGCAATTCTTGACCTTCTGCCTGCTTGACATAGTCTGCTTGAGGGTTCTTTAGGTACAGCATCTCTCTTGGTGGTGTGCACAGTGAAGTGTTGCAGCAGCAGGAGGAAGAGAATGACTGCTCAGCTTCACTGCAAGGATGGAGCCATCTGCTCACTGGTGCCTGGCTAGGTCCCTGAGTTTCTCGCCAGAAAGCATCTTTTGCTGCCTTCTTCCCACATGCTGCCTGAACACTGATCAAATTACTGGATCTTGTTCCTTAAAGATTGTCTCTTCCTTTTTCATGTATTTTATTTTTTTTATTAAACAGATCTGTATAGGCAATAATGGTAATGTACTGACTGGGGAAGTCTTGGAATTGTTCCTTTTTCCATGGAGCATTTCTGGCATGCTAAACAGAAGTGCCCTGTTACAGACACACTGATTATATGAATTGCTGGTGGAGTGATTGTTATTTGTTTGGAAAGCAACATGCTGTATTTACCTTAATTTCTACACATTATGCATAACTTTTCCCCTCCTAAAAATAGTGTGCTGGAGGCTGATTTACTGAGTAGTTTATATGCACATTTGGCAAAAAGCTGCATGGGCCTTGCCTAAAAACTTCCCACCTACCTGAATGAGCAGAAGTTTATATCATCTTAAGTCATCTGTCAAAGGCTTGTTTGTATTCCTTATATGAATTAGAAAGTTGTAATGTGTTTCATTTTTGACAAAATAAGCCAAGCCTAAATCAAGCTTGTTCCTTTCTTACCCATGATTTTGTATAAACTCTTCATCCCAGTTTGCCTCTGCAACTTGGGTGGTGTGGCTGGAGCACTTAGCAGTGAAGACTGAGGCAGGAATCATGAAGTACCTCAGCCTTCTTCATGTTCTGGGTAACCAGAGCTCCCGTTTCCTTCTAGAGAGGGCCCACATTTTTCCTAGTCTTCCTTTTATCACCCACATACCAGTAAAAGCTTTTTTTGTTGCCTTTGACATCCCTGACCAGATTTATTTCTATCAGGGCTTGCTTTAGCTTTCCTAACCTCATCACCGATTGCTTAGACAATTCATCTGTATTTCTCCCAGGCTACCTGTCCTTGCTTCCACCTTGCTTCATCTGTAGACTTCTTTTTTGTTTGCTCCTTATTCTTGACCATGAAGGTCTCCTGGTATTTTTGCCTCACTTCTCTTTGTTGGGGTGCATGACTCCTGATCTCAGAGGAAGCAATCTTTGAATTTTAACAAGCTTTCTCGGGTGCCTTGTCCTTCCCTTTTATCCTGACCTGTAAGGTCTCAGCTCCTCATGCGTCCCCAGGTGGAGCTCCATGCACTACCTGGTGGCTGGCAGAGGGTGACACCCCCTTCTCATCTCCTCTCCCCTTCCTCAAAAGCCTGTATATTTCCATTCCTGCACTCCAGTCACAGGAGCCATCCCACCATGTCTGTGTGAGGCCAGTGAGATCACAGACCTGCAGGGGTGCACATTTCTAACCCCATTTTTTTATTCTGCACACTGCATATACTTTCAGAGAGGCATTCAAGTTGGGCTGGAGTGGCTGGAATTCCTTTGTGCTGCTCTTCCTGCTGATCTATAAACCCTTTCCAGGCTCTGTGTATCTCTTGCTGGCACTGGCATCAAACTGGTATGCTGGGATGCACTGAGGTGCCTCTCCACCAACATAATTTCAAATATTGATGCCACTGGAAAAAGAAGAGTCCTGAAGTGGCTGCAGGTGTGCGTCACATTTTACAGGCTTGGAAAATGAACCAAGAGTCTTTCCCAGCTGCATCCATGTTGAACATGGACAGTATGTGTTCAAGTAAACTCACTTGAGTCTGTGCTAAGAGTCCTTCAACTGTTCTGCAGGCTGCTGGTTAGGAAGTGTTATGTGTTTTCACCTGTCAGTTTGCAGCACTATGGAACGGAGAAATTATTTTTGCATTTGAAGTCAGATTTCTGGAAGTGCATCAGCCCTTGTTCTACATGCAGGCTGAGACAGACAGCTAAAGAAGGCAGGAAAAAGGCTGCCAACTTTCCAGTAATACAGGAAGAGCCCCAAGCTATTTGTTCTTTCTCATTAAACAGCTGGTGATAGAATCACGACATTGCAGGCATTGTACCAGGACACTCAGTGGCGCTGGACCTCACCCTGGCTGTGAGCTCAGCAATGCACCTACAGAGTGAGCTGTGGCAGGGACCAGTGAGCCCCTGGTAGCACACATTTCCAGAAAAACAAGGCACTAGATTGCCAGCAGCTGTCCAAAACAGAAACTGCTAATATCACTGGAATCATGGTGTGTTTGTGCACCTATATAACATGGTCCCAAACTGATCTTGAGTAAAACTGGTTTCAGAATTAATTAAAAAACCCCAAAATTCTCAAAAAAAAACACACCAAAAAAAGCCACCAAAAACCCTTCAGAAACAAAAGCAAAACAGTAACAAGAAAAAACCCACCCCCAGCATTTTGTTTATAGTTGCAATAGCAAAACAAAGCTTTACATCCTTAAGTAATGGTAACTGTTTAGCATTCTGGTGCAACATGCTTCAGTCAGCAGCAGTTGGGTCTAGGGAGGAACCAGGAAACTGATTTAAAATAATTCCTTTCCTCATAAACAGCAAGTGTGTTGTCTTGCATTGCTGAGCTGTGAGTTTAAAATCGGGCACGTCTGTGTTACAAAAGGGTTTTAGTCATTCTCTGACAGCTGATACGAAGCAAAGGCTGCTTGGTAAAGGAAAGCTTCTATTAAATATGTCTTCTGGTCTTTGTAATGATGACAGAAAGCTGCCAGTATAAAATGGTATTTTTAATGAGGCTGCTGATAGAAAAAACCTTCACAGTTTTTTTACTTTAAAAATGTTATTCCGAGAAAAACAAGAGTTGAGTGGCAGAAATTATGGAACTTCATGGAACCTTCTATTCTTTCCTGGCATAAAACTGCAGAATTTTATGTGTGAGATACTTCAGGCAATGATCACTTCTTCATTTCCCTTTGTAAAGCATCCTGGACATAGCTTCACCTGATTCCAGACTCTTCCATGTGTTTACAGCAGAAAACATGGTGAAAGAATTTAAAGATGATTTATAAATTGTCACTGCTTGGTTTATACTGGCCCCACACACTTTCTTCTGGCCTTGAAAAATCTCATGTTTCTGAGATGTTTTTCTCCCTGCACCACTAGGGGCTGTGGCTACTTTCAAGGACTGAGTATTCCCTCAATTGCTAGGATTTCTGCATGTGGAGATGAATTTGTGATGGGCCTGAAGCAAGAAGTGCAATGGAGCTATGGAGGCCATGAAGTCTTTTCCCTTGGAAAAACAGGGAAGCACCAGTAATGCTGCCCATGTAACAGCTATCCCACCTGGATTTTCTGCTGGATGTACTCCAAATTAAGCAGCATTTCTGCAATTCCCACTTGCCCTTTGGCCCTAAGGCAGCTCTGAGCACCGGCTCCTAGAAGCAAAGCTCCTTTTCCAAGCCCAGCACCGTAGCTGGTATGTGCCATCCACCCAAGTTCCTCT